AACACGCCACTCGATTTGTCCAAATAAAAGTAGTTAGAATTTCCTTCATTTTCGTGAATTTGTATCCAGAAAATACACTTGCAGCCAGTATACTTTTATGATAAATGCTAACATACCGTTACAAAATCATTCTGTCGGGGTTTGTAACTGTTAGATCATCATGCAACTGTCAGAAATAGTTGATCTAACGGTTACAAAATCCAGATGGAATGGTTCTGTAACGGTGTCTATTAATAAATCTTCATACTTTGTTCTAGAATTCGACATACATATAGCCTTTTATTTTCTTTTCATTAATCTCTTCATGCAAAGACAAAAGAACATGCATGTATCGCGTGATCTTACTATATGTTTCTCTTAATAATAATAATAAAAAAAAAAAAAAAATAGAGAGAGATTTTCCTTTCGGCTTTTACTTTGAGTAGTTGGAGGTTAAATCACGGGTTTGGATAAACATATTTATTGTGAAAATATTTACTAGGTCAGTTTTGATAGAAATATGTTATTCCATATACTTGTTTTTGCTCTATATTTGAATTATGTGTATTTGAGGGATGATTTTGTAGTCAACCGATATAGAATATCCAATTATAGGGAGATGCTACGGTCCGTCACGGAATCATTCCGTCAGAATTTGTAGCCGTTACATCAACTATATATCCTCGACGGTTACATTATAATCTAACAGTTACAAACCTCGACGGAATGATTCCTTAACGGGACCATAACATTTCTCCCAATTATAGTGTTGTGAGAAGACGAGACAATAGATACCTTTTAACGAGTAAATTCACTTATCTTGAAAAAGAAATTTTATCATTTTTAGGAGGATTTTACCTTTGTAAATTATGTTTCGACCATCTAGACCTATGGCTATATATGGATAATTTACCTTTGTAAATTATTAAGTTTCACAAGTTTAATTATGTAGTATCACTATTCTTCAAGTTCTACCGAAAATCGAACTCTTTGTATATACAACTTCTGAAGGAATTTGAATACATTATAGGGAAATGTTACGGCCCGTTACGGAACCATTTCGCGGGGGTTTATAACCGTTACATCATCATGTAACCGTCAGATATAAATGATCTAACGATTACAAACTGATGGAATGGTTCCGTAACGGGATCGTAGCATTTCCCTACGTTATAATAATAAGACTTAGAAAAACTTATGGCTTTTACTAGTTAGTTACAGTAGTGTCCTTATTTTCGTTTATCGTATTAATCTGTATTATTGAGTAAGAGGGTCATCTTAAAACCAAATAAAATAACTAGACAAATTGTACATACATTTATATGTTTCAAAAAACTGAATAAAACAAAGACTGTTGCCTTACTTTCTTTCAAGTAAAAAAAATACACACACTACATCTATAATCGGGTCCCTTTAGCATAAGTTACAAATTGAGCAAGTGGAAACTATCCTGGGCTTCACCAACTAGAGACAAAACAGTGCCAGCAATATGTTTTGGGCTCAGCCCAGCTTCCTCTATCTGTTCACTTTGGGCCCCATGCTCTATATATCTGTCAGGCAGCACCATGGGCCTCCACTGATACAAATAAAATCAAGAAAATATGTAAATTAAACTTTAAATTATTTTCCTTGCATTATATATTCAAGTAATTTGGCTCATAATCTAGGCAAACTGTTTTTGGATTTTTGTGGTTAATTTTTACCTTAAGATTGCCATCAAGCAAGCCATTCAAGCACAAGAAATGTGAAACATGTGCACTAAATCCCCCAACAGATCCTTCCTCAACGGTGATGAGAATCTCATGCTCCTTAGCAAGCTTCCTAATCAAATCCCCATCAAGAGGCTTGCAAAATCTTGCATCAGCCACACTCACAAACATTCCAACTCCCTTAAGAATATCAGCAGCTGCCAAACAACTCTGTACTATTGTTCCGAAACCCAATATCGCCACTCGACTACCCTCCCGTAAAACTCTCCCCTTACCAATCTGTCGAATAAAACAAACAATGTTTACGAAAAAAACGATAATAATGAATCGAAAGAGAAAAATCGAAACCCATATACCTCGATAGGAGTCCCTTTGTTGTTAAATGGAAGATGCGCTCCCACACCGTTTCCTCTCGGGAATCTGATGCAGCTTGGCCGATCATCAATCCTCGCAGCAGTCGCAATCATGTGCATGAGTTGGGCCTCGTCAGACGGGCCCATAACCACCATATTCGGCAAGCAAGCCATGAAAGTCGTGTCGAAGGCACCACAATGAGTGGGCCCGTCGGCACCCACCAGCCCTGCCCTGTCCATAACAAATCTCACTGGAAGCTTCTGAAGGTCCACATCATGAGCCACTTGATCGTACCCTCTCTGCAAAAAAGACGAGTAGATCGCGCAAAACGGCTTGAGCCCCTCGGCCGCTAAACCAGCAGCAAAAGTCACCGCATGCTGCTCGGCTATCCCCACATCGAAACATCTCTTCGGGAAAACATTTTCAAAAGCATTTAGCCCGGTCCCACCTCCCATAGCCGCATGGATAGCCACTATTTTTGGGTCCTCCTTAGCTTCGGCTATTAAAGAATCAGCGAAATATTGAGTGTACGAAAGCGTGCTCGATTTAGGCTTCGACTGTTTCCCGGTTTTTGAATCGAACCTCACCACACCGTGCATTTTGTCGGGTGCAGCTTGTGCTGGAGGGTATCCTTTTCCCTTCTCGGTTATAACGTGAATCAAAACGGGTCCTGAGGCCGGAATATCTTTAACCTTTTTGAGTATATGAACGAGATCTTCTATGTTATGACCGTCCACAGGGCCAATGTAGGAAATCCCGAGCTGCTCGAAAATGCTAGCCTCCGATTTTCTTCCGAATTTCCTTGTCATGCCCTGTTTCATGAAAGAATAAATTAGCATTTTATTTTCTATCGAAAGGAAAGAAAAATATATGGTAAAATTAGTTACTTTTGCAGCTTCACCGATTTTCCGGCTGGATTGTAACTTTCTCAGGGCTTTGCTTAAAGCCCCGACTGGCAGAGCAGGGCCATTAACAGTGGCCGTGGGGAGGGAGACTTGGTTGTTATCGTTCAAGATTATGATAAGATTCGAGTCGAGATAACCGGCATTGTTGATCGCCTCGTATGCCTGTCCAGCTGTCATTGCTCCATCTCCGATTATCGATATCACGTGGTTCTTCTTTCCCAATAAGTCCCTTCCAACCGCCATTCCTAATCAACAACAAATTTCAGTACAAAAAAACATTGCAAAATTTTTGAAGCATAATAATAGTAATAATAATATCTAACCTAAACCAGCTGAAATACTTGTTGAGCTATGGCCAACTCCAAATGCATCGTATACGCTTTCTTCCCTTTTGGGGAATCCTGATAGGCCCGATGTTTGCCTGATCGTTTGCATTCGAGCCCTTCTTCCCGTTAAAATTTTGTGCCCGTACGCCTGTTTTTATAGTATATGTAATGATATTAACAAGAATTGTACAAAATGAAGGGTCTAAATTGACGAAATATCTTTTCCGTACCTGGTGACCGACATCCCATATAATTTTATCTTCAGGCGAGTCGAACACGTGATGAATTGCAACCGTAAGCTCGGATACACCTAAACTTGAGCTCAAATGCCCCCCGGTTTTCGACACAGTGTACACAATCTCTTCCCTTAGTTCGCCGGCCAGAGTTTCTAATTCCTGAAAAGAAGTTAAACGAGGCTGATTATATCAACATTTTTTGGAAAAAAAGATCAATCGATTTCGAATTTTGTAAAGAGTTAGCTATATATATATGTGTGTGTGTGTGTGTGTGTGTGTGCAACACCTCAAGAGAAAGATTCTTCATGTGAATGGGATAGTTTATAGTGTCCAATATAGGAGTCGATGGCTTTTCTCCGCTGAAACTAAGATTTTCCGGCGACTTTCGCACTTTTATACCTTCCGTCTTCACACGACTGTCGATACTGTGATGTTTAACAGCTGCTGCCATTACAGAAAACTGAAAAACATAAGGAAAAAAAACACGTAAGCACGATGCATAAACTTAAACCTGTTGAAAGTTCATAATGCACACATACCTTTTGGATTTTGATTTGAAGATTGGCTGCAGAAGGAGATGAAAGGCCTTGATGAAGATGATGATGATCACAATTGTTCAATGCAAGAAAGTTGTTTTTCATAACTCCACAAGAAGCCATTGTTAATGTAAGAGAGCTAAGGTTTTTGAATGACAAAGTGTTGTAGTGCTTTGAATTAAGATTGGAGGTTTGTTATGATGCCCTTTTATAGATAGGAAAAATATTATATTTATCAAATGAAATGTGTAAATAAAAGAGATGTGACACCTGCATTATTTTTTTTTGGTACAGGGACCTTTCGGTTTCTGGATCCACAGAGAAACCGAGACCACTGGTTAAGCTGGAAGAGATCCAAGCCATCTCATCCAAGCGCTACCCAAGCCATCTCCCTGCATTATTGGAAACAAAAAAGTCCACTATATGAGTCTTCCATAGTTGACTTTGGTCAATCTAATTATTTAAGTGATTAATTTTAGCTGAGGGTGAAAATTAAGATATCATTAAATTTTATGTGAGTAGTTTAATATAATAAGTATTACATTATGGTTGTCACTCATGTGTATATTATTATGTAAAATTTATGTCATTTATCATCATTCATTACAATATTATTAGATTTTGTACCGCTTAATTTTTCAAGTATTTATAAATTCCCTCGATTAATTAAAGTCTGAATTTATTTTTTTTATTTTAACTAAATGCCTATAAAAATTGCTTAGGCCGCCGTAATTGTTCAACTCTTGGGAGTCTCAAATACTACAATACATAGGGTTTATTATTATTATTACTCTCTGGATATTTATTGTTTGTTCTACAATAATTCATATCTATGATTTTATCTAAGTTTTATAGGTGGATCACAGAGACATAGTTTTATTATGAGCTAGCAGTTTGACAAAATAAAAATTAAAATGTTATGGCCTAATAATTTTAGTTTGTTTAAATTTGACCAGTCCTTGTATTAATAGGTTACTAGTGATGCTTATCCTTATTTCACATTATGAAAGAGATTAATATTACTCATTTTTGGTGTATACAATGCTAAACTTGTTATTTTATTCTAATATTTACTCTTTACATATATTTTTTAAATGTCATAAAACTACTCTATTTTTCTTTGATACATATATAATGATAAATATTTAATATATATATATATATATATATATATCAATGATACTTTATAAAATTCAAGGTTTTATATTTTTATTAATGCAATTTGATTAAAAACCAATATTCGATCCTGTGCACGTATAAAAATAAAAATAAAATATTATAAGTTTATAATTGTATTATATTTTAAAATTTTGAACATTAGAAAAAATTAACAATACAAAAAATATTTAATTTCATATTAATCGCTATGTTGATTGGATAAAATGTAATGAATAAAGTAATTTTATAATTTTGAGGGATCATAACATTAGTTCATAAATATTAAATTTACTACTACAACAATTGCTTATGCGATTTTAGGTCTGACCACACATTTAAAACCAATTAGTTACTCAAAAAAATCATTTAAATGAGAAAATAATAATATTTTTTAGAATAAATAAATTAAATAAATATTTCACAATATAATTTTAATGCTTGTGTAACTTTCACAGTTTGAATGTAGTTAGTTAGTTAGTTTCGATAATAACTAGTATATGATGAAATAGTTAAAAAAGTATAATTATTACTCAGTTAATATAAAATGTAATATTTTTATGTTTAATTAAAAAAAAAGTGAAACAAATTAAGATAGTGCTTATACTTTTTTTTTTCACACCAAAGAAAAATTGCTTGAGTCTAATATTAATTTAATGGCTACCCATTTTTCTCAAGAGTAATGCTACAAGTACATAATAGTGTACATAATGGTGTACATAACACTCACATTGAGTGGGACCCACTAAAAATAAAAATCAAATGGACCCCACTCAATGTGAGTGTTATGTAAACCATTATGTACACTATTATGTACTTGTAGCATTACTCTTTTCTCAATAATTGAATTTGATGTGATTTGTTGGTCTTCCTTTTGTCGTTATTACGTACTTCCAAAGAATAAACAAATGAGAGCCTTGCATTACCCACTACCAACTTACATACAATTTATGTCTCATTTGATCTTTGAATATCATATTCTTTCATGTGTGAATGTTTTTATTTTTATTTTTATTTTTAAATCCAGAACGGAACGTGTAACATGTGATGTACGTAAATGTAACGTGGAGTTTTGGGTGGTTGTGATTTTTTCGAATTTTCGACAAAAATCAAAGCCAAACGTAGTCAGAGGCAGAGCTAGGATTCAAAATGTTTTCGGGCTAAAGTCACTCGGGCTGAACCTGTAGAATTGTAGAACCTGTAGAAGCCACCCGGGCATGAATTAAATAAAATTTGTGGAAGCCACCCGAGCTGAAGCCCAAGTACAAATACATGTAGCTATGCCCCTGAACGTAGTTGTATTTGTATCTGAAATCGCCATTATAATATACTTTCAAAAATAAGCGATGATCTTGATTGAAACCATGCTAATTGCTAAGTGATGTAGGCCTAAATTCCACTATTTGTAATTCGTTTTAACGTTTTTATTATTTTCGACATTTCATATTCCGTTTTATTATTGATGTTTGATACGTGAGAAATCTTGTATTATTTTGTGTTCTAATTTATATATTTGAGTATTTATTGTATTATTCAAGTTTTCTCACGTATTTTATTTGTGAACGGAGATACACCAATATTCAAATTTTGTGTTTTTTTGCAGTTTTTATGCATATTAATGATGTGGCAGCTAAGTAAGCGATGACGTGGTCGAAAATTGATGACTGGGTGTGGCAATGTTATAGGATTTATTCAGGGATTTTTCACTGGGACCTTTGGACGTGAAACAGAGGTTGAAGACCAAGGAGTTTGAAGAGAGATTTTTCTGCTAGAAGACAACTTAGCCGTGAATCACGTGATCAAGGAGTTTGTTCTTATTTATTTGTTTTGTTTTATTAATTGAAGACCATGGATAATTATTATTGTTTTGATTATTTAGCTATGCTTAGCTAAACACTTATTTCGGTTCTAAGACGTTGAATCCTCGATGACTATGTTCGATTAATGCAATTTATTTTGTTTTACTTGTTGTATGAAATTATTTGTGTTATTCCAGTTTCATGTCATAATGTGTGATTTTTAATCTAGTTTGATCACCTAAGTTAGGAATTGCATGTTGATTGCTAGATTTGAGGCTTCGATCCTTAATTGTCGTCTCTCTTATTTCGTTTGTAGCAAGTAATAGTCGTGCACTGTTAAAGATAACACAACATAAGTTACATGAATCGAGCTTGTGTGTTTGTGGCTTAGATCTGTCTATTTTCCTATATTCTAATGCAACTAGAGGATTAAATTAGGAGATCTTATTCCGAGTTGTTTGCTAGTTAGATTTAATTGAAGAGCTTGTTTCGATTAAGTAAAAAAAAAAAAAAAAAATCGGGTAGTAGAGTTTATTGTTTTTTAGGACATGTAGTTTTAGAAGACGAGTGAGAAATGCACTAACTGGACTAGTTATTCGAGGGTGTAAACCGACCTAGGGCCGATTCCATTCTCATATTTGATATATTATTTGTTTATTTTCGGTTTCATTATCTTTTGCATTTTAATTATTCATCTCTAGTTTCAGTTTAATTTATTGTTTTGCTAGTGTTTCGCTTTAAATCAAATTCTCCCTCTTCCATTTTAACTTTAATCTAATTAATATAATAATATCACGATTTATACCACACTCTCTGTGGGATCCATTTTAACTTTAATCTAATTAAAATAATAATCACGATTTATACCACATTCTATGTAGGATCGACTTTTGCTCGCCACTACTACTAGTTAGTAGGGGTAAATCGAGAAATATTATAAATTCAAAATTTGTCGTTTAACGACACACGGTCAATTTCTAATTAGTTTAATTTAGGGCTTTTGGCCTTCGTATAGAGACATCCAATATTTTGTTTTATAATATATAATTCCTTTTTTGGAAGTATATACATGTGTTTTCTACATTTTATCGTGTTTATAAAAAGTTAGTTAAAAGTACAAACAATTGGACTAATTAAATTAAAATGATTGGAATTAAGAAAAATAAAATCAATGATTCTACAAGCCGCGTTCGGTACATTATTTGTTTTATTTATTTATTTAATTTATTTTGTTGAACTCGTGTTTATCACAACATAAGCATTTATCTCTGTTCATTGCAAAAAACGTGTAAACTGATAATTAATTGATATCACAATTTCTCACAAAAAACGTGTAAACTGATAATTAATTGATATCACAATTTCATGCCTAGAAAAAACGTGTTTAACATGAGTGGAAAAAACGTGTTTTATGAGAATTTCCTATCGTTTGAATAAAAAAAAAAAATGAATGGAATGTGATGTAATATAAGGGAGTCTATGGTCAGATGCACACACTATTAATGATTTATTCAAAAGTAGGGTATTGAGTTAAAAATATAATATTTATAACAAATAATGGGATTTTATGTACGCGTGTATGCCATCAATTTCCTAACAAGCGAGCTATTGTGTGTATTTATTTAAATGTTTGGATCAAATATATATGTAAAATTATTATTGCAACGCTTCAACTAAATTCATTGAAATACATATATAAAACAAACAGTTTGGCCACCACGAAAACAATTGAACGACACGGAATGTATGTGATGTCTCTTAGATATGAAACATTTTATTATTATTATTATTTGAATCAAATTGACATTATGAATGAAAAAAGAAGAATTATAAAAAATAAAACTAGTACGAATCCCGTGCGATGCACGGGTAACAGATATTTTTCAATATTATAAATTAAATTTTTTCTCATTAAATAATATTTATAAATTAAAATATATAGAATCAATATGTAATATAATTTACCTATATTAATTTATTAAAAATATTATATGAAACTTAAATAGTGCAAAATTACATAAAACATATCTATTTAAAATTAGTACACATCCCGTACCGTACTAATAACAAATTATATTACATTCATTTCATAATAAGTGCATTTTAGATTTTGTTTTTTTTTTTTCAGAAATTCGAGTTGACCACAATGTAATTCCATAAAATAATTAT